CATAACAACTTTCAGCTATAATCTCGCAGTTTTCAGCTAATTTTGCTAAACAGAGCCTAAGTCTGACATCCTTAAAAGTCTCGTTTGTAGTATGAGAAATGAAATAATGTCTAGACCATCTTCCTATCCATTTCGAGTTGCACAATGCATTTTTTTTCGAGCCAAAATTCATGGAACTACATATGATACAATATAATATTTATCTTTCTTTTTATAACTAAAACCAATTACTACCATATATGTACGTAACCTGTCTTTTAATTGGTCTTGTCCTTTCGGGTTCAAATTTAGTCTTTTCTTTTAAATGTGGTTCCTTTTAAGCTTAAAAAGCTAAAGCTGAGTCAGAGGGTCGCATAATCATGCAAGCTGACCGTAATTCCAAGATTTCCTTTCGGCGCTAGCAATTCTCCTAGAGATTTAAAATTCATATTCTAGAAAGAAATCATAGCAAGAAGCTAAATATGATGGGGCCAAAATAATCTTCCAGAGGATTAAACGATCTATCTACCCGCTGAAATTACAAAATTTCAGCGTTGAGGTAACATTGCCCACAGGACAAGCAGAACATTGAGGAGGCTCACAGAAACCGCAAGGTGTTAAAACCTAAAAGTTGAACAGAGACCAGACAGATTTGAGCTGTTATAAAATATCATGTTACCGAAGCAGAACCTTGAAATTTGCAACCAACCGATATACAAGGATTGTGAGATCAAATAAATACAGTCGGAACTACAGTTTGCAAAAAGACCTCCAATCGCAACCGAGCCTCAACAGATTTAAGCATAACTCAACAGTTTGAACCTTTTAAAGTTGTCAGGGGGATTTAAGACCGTACCTACAATCCAACTAACCAACCTCCGGCAAAAGCCCGAAAGGACCTGGTATCATGAAATAAACCAAATGCCACAATAGTATTTCAATTACAATTGCAGAAAGCCAAATAATCTCAGACACAGTGTCCACCGCTGAGAATTCCATGAAGTACACACAAAAATAACCGTAAGCAGCTCATCTCGTTGGGACAGGACATACACATAACATCTTGAATGTGTTGCATGTTGGTGTTCCTTCAGGTGTACATATCTCTACATAACAACATGCTTCTCTTTTCACTCAAAAAAAAAAGAACATATTTGTGGATAACAAACATGCTTCTTAGGCTCTTTGGGAACTTCAGCACACAGCCAGTATTTCTCCAGACTGTCACTAAATATTCAAATAGGTCGACCCTGGCACTCAATTAAACATCAATACTCAGCACGTAATCTTCCATTTAGTTACAGTATTCCATGGTGTTATTGTAGAGGAAGCCTCCGAAATATCAGTATGTTCTGATGATATTTCCTTTCGTTAGCATCAATAAACCCTCATCATCAAATCTGACATCAGATGTCATTTCTTGAAATGCATTTGGAAGGCCCCTCATTTTCACATCTCCGCACTAATTGCAATGTATTCTGGGATGAAAATAAAAATTGCGCTAAATCCTTTAATGTAATTCTGAGGTAAGCTTTTGGTAATGCATACCACACCATCTCCAACAATCTCAGTCCTATTATCTACTACATTCTCGACAAAATGCATACGTTATATAATGCAAATTCAATGTTGACAGGACACTAACAATATCTAACGTGCAACTCTGTAATCAAAGAGGCAAATAAACTCGGTATACATCTTGGTAATATATACAGTTATGCCCAGTGCAATGTGCTGACAAAATCTTGATGTGATGACATATTTGGTAGAAACGGAATCATAGAACACCCCTCACTGGAATGCACACATTTGTCATAACGATGGGGACATAAAACATGAATTTTTCATACCAGAGCGGCTACACTGAATTTAGCTTTGTTTTCAGTACAAAAGTTTATACATAAAAGGGAAATGGCCCACCTCCTGAGTGTGGTTTTAAGTATTGATTAATAAAATTTAGAAAGTCATGGACATCTAAGTTTCTAGACTAAACTCATTGTAACAAATATCAAAATATTATTATGGCACCATCTAATGAAGAAACTAAGGGCCTGTTCGTTTGTTTTCTAAAAACCAAGAAAGTTCACCTAAACCTAAAGCACTTCTTCCCGCTCAACAAGGCCGTGCATTCACAAAAATCATTGTAGATTCAGATATCTCAGCATCTTCTTTCACCCAGATGAAATATCAAAACAACCTCCAACCATCTTGATTATAGTTCATGTGTATTCATCCATTTCAATTGACTTTAATCTTTTTCGAGTTTATCCTTCTTTACTAAGATATATAATTTACATAAGAATCTGGGATTCTTATCACTTCAGCTGCAAGCAATGTACACTGAAGCAATATATCTCCTAAAGCAAGAAAGTCATGATTTATGAACAATCTCGCTCATGATAGGATAATCATGTGTTGAATAATAAAAGAAATGCATGTCGCTGTTATTGTCTGAACCACAAAGGATATTCAAATCAAACGAAAGGCCTGGCCACAGAATGAAGACCCTCAACCAAGGTTGCATAGGTACGGGTACGGGACACGGAAAATTTGTAAACAGTAGGGTTTGAGGAACTTTTAGTAAATAATATCTATAGAGTATGCAAATTAGTGGAAACATCCATTTTTACCCATTTCGTCGAGTAGCCTTTGGAACTGATTAAGCTCGCCGAACTTGTATTTCGCTCGCATAATCACAATATAAGTTTGCATGCTCACTGTTTGATGAAATTCCTCATGGAACGGATATGTTTCTTGGGTGTAGGATTGTTGCGTATGTTTGATTTGTATTTTATTTATATATATATATATATATATATATATATTAACAATTATATTAACTATAGCAATTTTACTATGTTTAATTTCAAATTGAGAAATAAGCTCATTTCTTTAAAAAAAACCCTACAAATTGACTTCATATCATCAAGTTAATGGACACTTAACTCAAAAAATATTGTGTCACCCACACCAAGATTATGTGAGATAAACAAGGTTCAAGGGTCTACGTGACAAAACACCAATCTAGATGGAGGTGGGCTTTTGTGAGTAAACTAAAAAGCTAGTTGAGCCCAATTAAACAGGTCGAATGATACCTTGAATAAACGTTCCCAAAACAAATCAACGACCTAGATCGTCAAACCCTAGAACGAACGCCTCAGATCCACCCTCATCCTATTCCCACTCCCTATAAATGCTCTTCCTCATTCCTCACCCCAAACCCTAACCCTAGAAAACTCGCCTCCCCTCAAATCCTCCCCTCAAAACCATAATCTCCCCTCCACCGCCGGATCCCCTTAAAACCGCCGCCAACATGCAGATCTTCGTCAAAACCCTCACCGGCAAGACCATCTCCCGACCCTCGTCGACACTTCCCGACCTCGTTGAAGCTTCCCCGACCTCGTCTTCGATCTCCGAGCTTTCCCTGACACGTGGGAAATGAGCTGCTCCCATGTCCCCTTTGTTTGGGTGCGAAAACGTACCCAAACCGCACCTGACACGGGTACGACGCCAAAATTGTCGTGTCAAGGTATCATAGCCCTCAACAGAGTAATTGTTATAGTTCAGGAAGTATTGCGCCCTTTTCAAACAAAGGACTAATACTCCTAGATTAAATTTCCCATCTTGAGTATGAAAATATAATAGTTCATGAATTTTCTCCAATCACAAAGTAATATTTAGCAGAAGATCATGTAAAAAGTTGAGGAAATCAGATCCAGTAGCTGCTTGTCCCATGACAACCAGGCCATTAAGTACTCTAACCATTTCAAACATATTCACTAGTTATCTCCATTATCTTCTACGAATTTACTTATGAGATGGATAAAAACTCGAACCATCATGCTAAATAACACACATAGAATGTGAATCCTATAATTTTTTAAGCACACATCAACTAAAACAATAAATCTATCAAAACTAGTGAAAGAGCACTTTGGATCCTTTTAGATGAGGACGGATAATAAAATCTACTTCTTCAAGCACCAATAAGTAGATGTGTAACAGTGAGAATGGATGCAATACACATGAGGTATGGTGGTAGCATATTTGGAATGGATCATAATTGGAAGTTTGGAACGGACCATAATCAATCCTACATATAAATGAACAGCTGTGATTTTGTGAACCATTCCAACGCAAATAAGAATCAGCGAGGATCCAAATCTCTTTCCCACCAGTAGTACAGCAATCCCATTTAGCAAGACTCATATTTGCTGAATAAGGCATAAAAAGAAGCAAACTTGACAAGTTATAAAACCAATAAAGCTGCCAAGATAACTACAGAAACCACAACTAGAATCATATGCTCTAAAGATCAGAAGCAATCAAAAGCCTCTAATGATACGGACATCAGATATACCAAAATCTTATACTAATTACAAAGTACCCAAATGACAGGGAGAAAGATCAACCCTTGGGAATCTGAGGGCTTGAAACAAGGGCTGAGGAGCCAACAGAAGGTGGGCTTCAGCTTGGAGCCCTATTCAGATCCTAATTGACAAATAGATAATGAAGAGTCCACTTCTACTGTTATTTATAATTTATAGACATTAGACAGTTAAAAAGTTTCGGAATTCTGATTGTGGTTAATCAGTTATACTTGGAAGGAATCATGATGATTCTAGATACAACTGGACAGTTGTGATTTGAGAAATGATTTGTACACTTCGAAACAAGAAACATAAAGGATCCAGACCCAATTTCTATTAAGTACATGACATCAACAATAATTAAGAATCACATATAGCAAGATGCCAACTATTTGAAGAACGCATAAAAAGGACCACAATTGACAAGCTATAACACCATATAAACCCATCAAGATAACTACTGAAGTGATTATCATACTCGTGTTGTAAACACCTGAATCATGAATCATAAGCATTCTAGATGTTAAACATGGTAGCCGCATTTGTAATCAGTAATAATCATTTTAGGCATAAATAGGAATTTGTGATTTGAGAAATGATCTCAAATAACCAACACAAAACAGAGAGGGACTAAATCCCTTCTTCTGTAAGTAAAAGACAAACATTAAGAATCCAATATACTCAGATGCCAACTTTATGAGAAATGCATAAGAGAGGATCAAACATGACAAGTTATAACACCAAGCTAACTACTTAAGCCATCGCAAGAAATGAAAAAAAAAACCATTATGATCTGACGATCACAGGCCCCAAATTCTTATACCGAGTACCAAAACATCAAAGAGAAAGATGAAACCCTAGAAATCCGAGGACGACAGAATCAGACCGGGCTCAGGAGCTGAGAGAGCGTGGGCTTGGGCTCGGAGTTCATACCGATGACGATGATTAGAGGGATGAAGCCGTAGTGGGTCACCACCTTCGCCTTCTTCATCGCCCACGTGGTCCACTCCTTCACGCACTTTCCGTATCCACCGCCGCCGTCGGAGTCTCTTGAGCCCTTGCCGGTTTTGCCCTTCCCCTTTGAAGAAACCCTGGACGCCATTGATTCCGTCTGGTTGGAGGATTTTGAGGTCGAGAAGTGTGCGGAAAACCCTAGAAGTACGGGGGGTCGTTTTGGCGAGGGTTCATTTGGGGAACTAAGTGGGTAATTAGTTTGTACGACCCAAGGCCTAGCCCAGTAAGACAAACGAGAACTTATTTCTCTCACGTGAAAAAGACAAAAAAAAAATTAGAAAAAGGCTTGAGGGGGGCTTGGCATATGGGCTACAGCCCGTAGGCAAACATTTGACAGGTTGATAACGTCACAGACAGTATTGTTTAGCCTTTCTTATACCTTTTGCAATTAAAAAAATGATTTTCCCAAGTTTAGACAAAAAAGATAAAAAAAGTAAAAGGTCTTTGGGGAAAAAGTAGTTGGAAAATTCTTAGTTGCGAGATAAAGGGAAGAGACTGATAAAAACAAATGAAGAAATATAAAAAATATTATCACATTATCAATCTACTAAATATTTGAATGTGGACTCAAAAACTTGTTACATTGGACCGATAAGCATAGTTTAAGAAGAAAAATAGATAAGTTGATACTTTTTTCAGGAAAGTTGACATCCTACCAATATTTTAAAGGGGAGATCATTTTGTTCTTCTATATACAAAATATTAGAAAAGTTTAATATACCAAAAATGCCCTAGAAAAACTAAACATGATCTTGTACCTAGAAAAAAACAACCAAAACATGGTCACGCTTGGGGGTACAAAAATATCTCAAATTTGTTGGGGGGATAGAAAAAACTTTACGTTCGGAAAAAATCAAAAATACTAATTACCATTCGTTCCTTTTGACAATTCCACTATTAGTATAATATGTTAAGATGTCTTCAAACTCCATTTTTGAATTTTTTTCAGAAAAAAAATCCGCTTGAAAATCCTCCCGAGCTATTACAAAATCTTGTGAAAGACATTAGCGAGTAGAATAGCGAGCGAGTCTAAATTATGACAAATCAAAGTTGGTGAAAAAACTTGATTGAAGAACTTTGGAGAATAAACACATCAAACATATAACAATTTTTAACATATAATGTATTTACACCGTCAAGAAATATAAAAAAACTCCATCTGCTTCCCCAAGCATAGAAGCCCAAGTGACCTTTTCAATGATACTAAAAACCCCCTAAAATCTTTTGTTATCTTTCCTTCCTCCTTTCTTATCTTTCTCCCGCCTCTCTCATTTTCTCTTCCTTCTCAACTGTTATATTTTCTTGTCTTTGTCTCTCATCCTTCTTCTCCGTCTGGCGCTTCTCCTCTTTCACCACCCTTCCCATTCTTCTTCTCCTCCTACCCTCACCTTTCTTTCTTTTCTTCTCCTTCGTGTATTCTCCCTATTCTACGACATGCCTCTCCTATTTTCTACCATGTATTTTTCTTTCTTCTCTATCATTTATCACAAATACCGCGTACATGGCCTACAGCAACAGTTCACACGGTGTGGTTCCAAACTGTTCTAATTGCTATGAAGCGTTACGGTTGGCTGAGAATTTTAACTGTCTTATTAGGCATCATACATCATGGTCTTTGTTAACCATTGGGCTTAATCTGGACTTATTTAACCGTCTTATTTTTCTCTCTCGCCGTCTCCTTCAACGAGTGTGATCATTGTTGATCTCGTTTGATCCGAAAACTCTAAACCTCTTTTGTCATCAATGAGCACGATCATTATTGATCTTGTTTGATTTGAAAACCCTTAACCTCTTCTGCCATCAACGACCATGACCATGTTGATTTTGTTTAATCCTAAACCCTATATATATTTTGCATTCAATGAATATGATCGTCGTTTATCTCGTTTGATCTGAAACCCTAAACCTCTTCCGCAATCAAGTAGCATGATCAATGAGTGTGATCATCATTGATCTTGTTTGATTCGAAAACCCTTAGTCGTTCTTCCCAATTGATCTCTCCATCAACGAGCAAGGAGATTGATGTGCTAATTAGACTTTAGGTACCTAATTTCATCATCAACGACAATGTCTTAAAAAGCCTCCGCTTACCTCGTCTAGGCGTAAGCCCAGGCCTAGGAGGTACCTTGGCCGCATACCTTGCGCCTAGCGCCTAAGCAATTCCAATACTACCCACTTAGATTTTTAGAGCGCTTAGGGAGTGTGGTCTGCCTATAGGGATGGTACCCCTTAGGCATTGATTATGATTTCCTTCATTGCAGCATCCACGTCCTCCAATCTAATCTAAATACCAACTATGAACACCCTCTCTACATCTCCCAACCTTCAAGAAAACATCCTCCACCATCACTTAAGAAATTTGCCTAGTTGTGCTTAAGCTTTCTATAATATTGGCATTTACTACCACTAGTTGTAATTAAAAATAAAAATAAAAGGAAAACGCCTAGGCCCTTGTAAAACCCAAAAATTTAAAAATAAATAGTAATAATTTTAAATGATAATAAATAAGTTTTATTATGGTTTATGATCATCTTGGGATGAATGAACTAGATTGGAATTGATTTGAGATCGATTCGCAGTCTCAGCCTTGGTATCGCAAGTCTGCTGAAATCTACCACCTTTTCATTTTTAGTAATTTTTATGTTGATCAGAAACTTAGTGGATGACCCTTAAGTTGACATAAGTTTTTGTATATATATATTATATATACATAGAGAAAAAGAAACTTAGTGGACGTCCACTTAATTTGACATAAGTTCTTCTCTATATACATATACATATATATGTATGTATATATGTGTATGTGTGTGTGTGTGTGTGTGTGTGTGTGTCTATATATATATATATATATATATATTGTTTGCGGTGAAAGTTGATGTTTTCATTGCGGGATTCATTACAAACTTCAAACGTTTACAACGAATACAAAAATCAGTCTTTTTATAAGACTTTTACACAATGAAAACAAAAAAAAAATTACAATTCTCTTCAAACAAACACAATGAGTGTTTATCGCCCGCTGCTTGTGTGGGATCTTGGCCTGTGACGGGGACGCATTAGTCCGTGGACCACCAAACGATTAATATTTGGACAGAGTTTCGTCTTTCCGTGAAGGGATCGAGAAACCATAGCTCTTATCTCGGCGAAGTGAGATAATCACTCTTCTTAAGATTACCGCAACGGGATAATCCTAAGGAACGAACCGGGTTGGAGATCTAACTCCTCCTCCTCTCTGAAATCTGTGCACTTTAAGTCTTCAATCCGGCAGGGCTTCGCCGAGGCACGAGAATTCCAGATCCAAAAAAATGAAGCTCTAGGGCCTGTATTTATAGGCTTCCAGGAGATCCGGGCGGTTAAAACTACACAAAAACTGAAATCTGACTTTTTTAGGGCTGGAGACACCCTTGGGTATCTCAACTTGGGCCGAGACACCCTTGGGTGTCTCGTTTGTGCCGAGACACCTCGGGGTGTCTCAACTCAGGCTGAGACGTTCCGTTTTATATATTCGTCTGTTTCCGCCGTAACTTATTCATCCGAACTCGGATTTGAGCAATTCAAAGTGCGTTGGAAAGCCGATGAGGAGTTATATAAGCTCTAATGATTAGATCATCTGTGGAATAAATGAGACACGAAGGGTATTTCGCCCTTTTGTAAACGACGCGGGGCTCCCGATCAATTCGTATCCTCGTTATTCTGAAACTCCGTTGCTTCACGTAGTTCGTCGATTCACTTCAAGCGTTCATCGATGTTAATCGAGCTTCTGTGACTTGGATAGTGATGTTCCTCACCTCCTCTTAGCATTGATCTGCTCACGGAGACCTATAGGCAATTTTCGATGCCTACAGATACCCCCTCCAAAGCGTTCCAGACTCGTTTCTTTTATAGAAGAGGCTGGAATACTTTGGATGTGATTGGTCCAGCCTTCGATCGGTGTAAAGGACCTGTAGTTAGCTTCGACTCTTGGCTCCTTCGATTTTTAGTCTATTCGATGCTTTGACGAATAGCTGAAGTCCTTCCGGCGCTGCGTTTATCGTCTGGCCATCGTCGGAGTTTCGAGTCTAAAACTAATGAGTTGAGTTTGGCTCGTGTCATTGAGTTGACTTAGAACTGACTATCTCTGTCGCATCGTGCTGACTCAGGATTTTAGATCGCCGTACATTGACTTTTTGTCACAACGTATTGACCGGCGTTGACCTAGGGTTTTGGATCGCAATGCGTTAATTGGCGTTGACCTAGGGTTACGCGTTGATCGGCATTGACCTAGGGTTACGCGTTGACCGGCGTTGACCTACGTTGACCTAGGGTTTCGGATCGTAACGCGTTGATTGGTGTTGACCTAGGGTTACGCGTTGACCGGTGTTGACTTAGGGTTTCGGATCGATCGTCGTTAACACAGTTTATACTCGTACATCTGCTGGAGTATACACAGTTTAAGTTCTTAGGATATTGGAGCATAACGGTCCCAACAGTTGGGGCTGCAGGACTAACTGTTAAAGCTGATTCGTTTGCAGATATGGATCTTACCTTGATGTTGTTGGATACTCGAGTCACGAGACCGACTAACGGAGTTGGTGCGTCAATGACTCGTATTTATAGAATTTTTGGAAAATTCTCAGCCATCAACGGGTTTAATGAGCCTTTACCGACTACCGTTTGAGTTGGGCTAGCATGCGGATTGTTTAAGTCCGTTCCACATGTGACGTTAAGCTAAAAGAGTTAACCCTTTTAGTGCTACGATATTGAATACGTAGACTTCGTCTTTCTCACGGGAATAGACTACCCGGTAATGCGTGTTAGGCGCTGACTTATCCTTACTTAGGATTCAGGATAAAAGTCCCCAGACTCGGATTCTGGTGTCTTCTTCAATCGGTAAAGACTAAACCGGCAACGCGTGTTAGGCGTTGGCTTATCCCTTCTTAGGATTCGGGATAAAATTCCCCATGCGTGTGAGGCACGGATTATGGTGTTATTAATAACAACCTGGCATAATGTTGAATATGTGGTCTTTTATCTTTTTTACGGTCAAAGACTAACCGGCAACGCGTGTTAGGCGTTGACCTATCCCTAATTAGGATTCGGGATAAAATTCCCCATGCGTGTGAGGCACGGATTATGGTGTTATTAATAACAACCTGCCACAATGTTGAATATGCGGACTTTTATCTTTTTTACGGTCAAAGACTAACCGGCAACGC